CATGTTTTAGGGTTTGGAACAGTTCCCTCAATTGTGAAAAGACAGAAGACTATGTATTGTCTATGTTCTTCTAATGCCAACTTTAGTTACAACCCATTTAGTTGCCATGTAAATGATATCAACAATTTAAAATTTGAAGTTTAAAGGAACAAAATAATTGTCTAATGTTGCTGTTTATGAATTAAGTTGAGTGTGGTCTGAATGTTTTTTATTTTCTAGAGAAAGGAAAATCAAATTATTGAGGCAAAGAGAAATGCAAGTGAATGAAAACTAAAGCCTTATTTCAAATCCTAATTAACACCTAATATATGAAGAATTTGGTGAACAAAAATTTAATGAAGAATTGAATTTAAATTAGTGAATAAAAAATTAGATATCGTAGCCGTACACTTGGCCCTCACAATATGTGTTTAGAGTTTCTCATAAATTCTCTTATAGTATTTTGAAGTTTTTCCAAGATTAAAACACTTTTTTCATTTTAAAATAATAATCACTATTTTCTATTTTACTTTTGCCTTTGGTTTTCTTCAAGATAATTTTTTTGTCTTCATCCAATTAGTCAGCTTTTTTGTCTCTATTCTCCATTAAGTCAACTATAATTCTAATAAATCCATTATAATATGCTTTCTGACATTTAGTTTTTGAAAAAGTACTTATTCATTTTTTTAATCTTATCTTACCTCAATGTTACAATTAAAAAAATTAGAAATAGAGATACACACATATATTTTTTATTTCCACTTATCTTAGCTCAATGTTACAATAAAAAATTAGAAATAGAGATACACACATATATTTATTTCTTCCAGCAATTTAATTTTTTTCTAAGCTATTATCAAAATTAGGGAAAATTTTGACAACAAATAAATTCACTTGTACTTGGGGAGTATTTTTGAAAAATCCCCTAATATCTTAATTTGAATATATTAAATTTTTTATCCACTTTTGATTTTTTTTTATCTTTACTACTTATACTATTTTCTTAGCAAGTGGGATTACTGCTCAATCTAAATTGTGGAAGAGAGAAATAAATCAAAAATAAAGTTTCAAAAGATAAAAAGCTTTAACAAGAAAGCAAAAAGAAAGAGCCCCAACTACCAATTAAAAGGGTTAAACTAATGGTTAAGAGAGTGAGATAAACTATTAAAAAACCTATTGAACTTGGTTGTGACAATGGGATAAATTACAATAAAATTTATCAAGAAAGTAGGTTAAATTTTTGAGAATTTGATTGTGAACTAAATCCTTCATGAAAGAATGGTATAAAATCTTGGTGCATTAGATGAGGGTAACAAAAAGAAACTTTCACAATAGCTATATTCAATAAAGATTTTTAAACATCAAATAGATTTAGAGAGGGAGGAATAAATAACAATTTTTTTTCATTTTTAAATTTTTTTTCTCTATTTCTTGGCACTAGTGACTACTTAGTAAATATTGTTTACTTATATAGCAATTTTTATTATATAACAATTGGTTAAAAAAGACATTAAATTTGAAGGTGTAGGATTGAGCAACTTGAGACATCAAGATGTATGAAACCAAAATAATGACATTGAACACTTCTATCCTCCTATCACAAATCTCCAGTACATGGCCTGTTTGTTTTCAGGAACTTGGCCTTAGATGAAGGAGAAAACACATACATCCCCAATGCAATTCCATTGTATAGAAAGATATACTTCAACAAGCCAATTGTAAATTTCCTAGCTCAAGCACTAGGCCTTCTATTGTTACTACCTTTTCTCAAGTTAGGTGCCAATTTTCTAATGGAGTGAACTTTGCATTTCCTAGGGTAGGCATATTAAATGAAACAAATGCCCTTCAAGCATGTATCCATCTTCTATAGTTGGTTTTGATTCTTTTTAACATCAGAAATGATAACAAAAAGGAGAAGGGTTTGGAATAGCTTTTTGAGGAATTCTATGGCTTTGTTTAGCATGATCAAAGTTACTCAACAATATCAGCACAAAGTGGGAACACCAATTTAATTTTATATAAATCATTACTTCTGTGGTGTAGTGCACCTTATCTCTTTCCCCTTGAGCTATTTTATCCTCATTTATCCCCCAAGGTTCCAAGCCCTTAGTGGCTATTTTATCCTCATTTATCCCCCAAAATTCCAAGCCCTTAGTAGCTATTTTATCCTCATTTATCCCCCAAGGTTCCAAGCCTTTAGTGGCTATCCAAATCTCATGCCAAGGGGAACCAACACCTCCATTTCCGCACTCAATCTACCAATCCTTCCATTGTGTAGATTAGCTAGTTTCGTCCATGGATACTCCACACAAGAGGAAGGACGTACACATGGATGTCCAATACATACGATTTCAATTAAAGGGTAGGTGTATTGGATTTCAATTTAGGGGTAGGAATATACCTTTTTCAAGGGTATATTATATTTTTAAATAGCCACTAATCAATGGGAATTGAACCTGTGCCACTTACTCCGATACCAACTATAACGCACCTTATCTCTCTCCCCTTAAGCCAACTGGAAAAGGGGCAATTACTTGATGAGAGAGCCCTTAGTGACTATTTTATCCCCATTTATCCCCCAAGGTTCCAAGGATCCATGGTAACAGTATATCCAAATCTCATCCCATGATCACATGCGCTACATGTGGAATCATACAAAATTGTTTTAGAATTTTGTTGTGAAAGTCACAATGATTGTTATGACTTGAATTACTTTTTTTTAATAATATTTTAGTGGATTACAAAAGCCATTAAAAGGTTTATAGAGTGGATTTCCGCTATGTTATCTATTTCTTCTTTTCTCTTGCTTTAGACTGTTATTTCGGAAGTAACATGAGTATTTTTATTAATAGTGACAGTGATCTCCACATTCCTGAATGGGTAATAAGGACTAAGCATGTAATATGGAGATTGTGGTAGTGAAACAAAATTAACATTCTCACATTTCTGTATGCTAGGATTACTTATAGATTTTTTGTCTTCCTTACTTCTTATCTCTGTAAACCCTAAAGGATGAATGAGTGAATCAATGTTTCAAATTATTTATATATTTTTGGTCAATTGTTGAAATGTTAAAATTTTAAAATGTACAATAGAAATTTTAGGTTCATTAGAACTTCAATATTCCCATTTTATTTGGGACCAATAAAGCCCAAAAATTTCTATGGGTTCAGACGAACTTCTAATTCTAGAAACAATATTTTATTGTATAAATTGCATTAGAAGATTCAAAAAATAGAAATTTCTCTGAACCATTGATACTTAAATTCATAAATTTCAAGTTCACCAAAGAATAACATTTTTCTAACTTAATATATCCTTATAAAACTTATGGTTGACTATGTTGACTAATATTGACTTAAGTTAAATTGAGCTCAACTCGTGAGCTCAACTCAACTTTGGACCATTCCTGTAACAATGGAAGGCCTAATGCTTGAGCCAGGAAATCTGCAATTGGTTTATTGAAGTATGTCTTTCCATACAATGGAACTGCATTAGGGATGTATGTGTTTTCTCCTCCATCTAAAATTGAGTTCCTGAAAACAAACAGGCCTTGTATTGGAGATTTGTGATAAGAGGATGGAAGTGTTTAGTGTCATTATTTTGGTTTCATGCATCTTGATGTCTCAAGTTGCTCAATCCTACACCTTCAAACTAACTTCTTGGTTTGTGATAGTTGTTGGACGACGTTGACAATGATGGGCATTGCTACACTTGTCTTTTCAAGGGGCTATTTATGCATGATGCACAAACAAATAGTTATCACATCTATTTCTCAAACCAGACCTTGGATTCACAGAAGAAGAGATCTTAAGGTGATTGTATCACAAGAGTTTGTGTTTCTCTGTATGGAATGGCTAGGTATAGAATTTATTTATACTAATAAAGATAAAAATGTTTTTAGATTGTGAGTGCATGGAATATGGAAAAAGAATACAAAAAATGTGCATATTAATTAACCCAAAGACCCTAGCTTATATACAATAGCAAGTGGTCAAGATTGAAGCCAATTTGATAACTACCAAAATCTCACTATGCTAATATTAATATATGGCATTGTAACTATACACTTGGACCTCACATCACTCCCTCTTCTCAAAATAATGGAAGATCATCAAAGTTCTCTCATGGATGGGCTAAGATCTGGAGGAACATCAGAAGAAGGTATTGGTAGAACTGTAAGTGGTGCTAATTATTCCTGATCTCTTTATACAAAGCATTTTAGCTACTGTATATGCATAATTTCTAGAGGATCGACTTGGTAGATGTCATGTTGAACCTTATAAATTTGTAATCTAACTTGTTGCAACACTTGATATAAACCTTTCCACTAAGCAAAGAGCCTTTTAGATAAACCCCATACCATAATATTGGGAAAACAAACTAACACCAAATCATTCACTTTGTATTCCGTAAGTGGGAGTTGTAGTGTTGTTGTTATCCCATTTATATACGGCCCAGGTGTTTTGCAAACTCTGCTCAAACAAGTTGTCAAATACTATGTAAGCTCCTGAGTTTGGACTTCCCGGGAGGTCACCCAGCCCAGTACTATTCAAACCCAAGGACGCTTAACCCCAACTATCCCAAGACCCTTAACCGATGGCCCTTTCCCTCTATATTTGAACCCCTATGGATCATCTCTCAAGTCGTTCCCTTTGGTTGCTTACATACTAATCCCACAATTTAGTATCGGTAACCCACAATAATTGCAAAAGTACACCCAACTTTATTGGTAATATTAGATCATAACCACATAAAAGTTTATGGTGAAGCACTAATAGAACTCTACACCCTTATAACATATGCATACCAAAGAGATGGAAAATAACTATCCCAATCCAAATGCTGAAAGTTCACATACTTCATATACTTTTTGAAGATTTAAATGAGCCATTCTACCAAACCATTTGACTGTGAATAATAAACACTTGTGAAAGAACTAAAACGTCAAATCACGTCTTGATTTTCATGGTCAAATGGAAGAAATACTAATTGGAGGTGGCCACTTTCAGCTCTTACACGCTCAAAGCCTTGAAGTTACTTTTGTGCATGGGCTGACAGCTTGTCTATATTATAATCACTGAACCATAGCAGGAAAAGTGAGAGACACTTACGTACTTTCCTTGACTTGGGCTTCAGAAAAGCTTTCCAGCTTCTTGACATTGCCAAGAGGATTGAAGAGCTCATAGACATCTGCAATGTTCTTTCAATGAAAGAGAAGAAAACTTGAAACAGTAGACCAGATGCTGTAGCTTACAGTGAGATTCTCTCGTCTAGAGCGATACTGCAAGGCAATTATTTGCTCCAGCTTGTCACAAAGCAGCAGAAAATCATCCCGATGCGCTGAAAAGGCAAGGGCTCTTATAAACCAAAACGCTATGCAATCTAGTACCCTGACCGATAATAGAAGAACAGAGCTTGGAGATGAGCTCCTTCTTGGGAATCTCGATCACAATCTCCCGCTTGAGGCGGATGCTGTGGTCCTCCACTTGCAATTCGATCTCTGCCCTGTCCCTGTGACAAGAAGCACAATCAGGGGCGGGCGAGAAAGATGAAAGAATCAAACATACGCAGTGTACTTACATTGCTTTGGCAAGAATAGAGGGATGGCGCCCCTGCCCAGCTGCATTTTGTTTGCAGCAGCGCCATCGCTTTGCTTGCTGCCTACTCGTGAATCTCCTCCTTGCGGATCAGGGAAGAAAATAAAAAATATTAGGGCTCTACATTTGAATAATCGAGGGCGTGAGGATTAGGGCATGCGAGGTGGGCCCGTTAAGGGTAACTAGCTGTTTCTCGAATATGCATACTTCTATTATTAATACCCTTACCCTAACCCTAACCCTTCTAACCCTTAAGCATGACGTGACGGTCAATGTCCGCTGCGCAAAATTCAGAGTTGGTTGGCTTCGCAAGTTGGAGATATTCTCTGGACATAATGCGAGTGCTCAAAGAGCTTCTTGTCTTCAAGCTCCACTTAAGCCAAAATTTTCTCCTTGCACTCAAGTAAAACAGGTAACGACAAGTTTCGCACGCGCAACGTAGTCTTCGAATAAATCACAGCCAGGGGACTCTGTTCCTCGTCTCCATTGATAGCAGGAACTCAGTCCGAATGGGCAAGGCGATTTGCGTGACTGGAGCTGGTGGTTTCATTGCTTCGTGGATTGTTCGTGATCTTCTTAACAAGGGCTTTTCAGTTCCTGGCACTGTCCGCGATCCAGGTTCTGGTTTGTTATCTTTGTCCCAGATCTAGTGATGGTGGCTTTCAGATGACAACGCCAAGTGTGGACATCTTAAGCAACTGGATGGAAGCGAGAGACTAAAACTACATAAGGCTGATGTGCTCGACTATGACTCAATCGCTGACGCGATTCGGGACTGTGAAGTTGTGTTCCATACTGCTTGCCCTGTAACCGCATCGACTGAGAATCCAGAGGTAGTCTCCTATTTCATTTCTTTTCTCTGGATAAGGCTGACTGGGTAATTGAGTCCCAGGATGTTTTGGTGCCAGCAATCACCGGCACTCGCAACGTGTTGAAGGCCTGCGCACAGGAGAGGGTCAAACGGGTCATTGTCACGTCGTCCGCGGCTGCGGTGATGTTCGATCCAAATCGGCCTGCGGAAAGAATTGTCGACGAGAGCTGCTGGTCTGATACTGACTACTGTACAAAGCTCAAGGTAAACTTATCCTCATCCTCGACAAAGTTACTGTGTTGTACTCACTGAAACTCTTGTTTCAAGCAATGGTATCTTTTAGCCAAGACGGAGTCTGAGAAGCTAGCGTGGAGTCTCTCCAAGGAGTACGGCCTTGACCTCATCACGATCTGCCCCTCGTACGTGTTTGGCCCGATGCTCCAGCCAACGCTGAATTCCAGCAGTGCGGTCTTGAAGGCTCTCGTGGATGGTTTGTGCTTTAAAAATGCTTCAGAAGCCTGATCGATGTGTCTTGTTTCCCCAGGTCATGAAAGCAGCTACCGCGATTCCTCCATTCCGGTTGTGGACGTGAGGGACGTCTCGAAAGCTCACATTCTGGCCATGGACAAGGAGGAGGCCTCGGGCCGCTATCTCTGCGTGGAAAGGGTTGTGTCCAACAGCGAGATTATCAAGATTCTCAGGGCCAAGTTCCCGCAGCTTTCATATCCAAAAGAGTAAGCGTCTCTAGTTCCTTTCTTCCGATATCTATAAAGCTAGAAACTCTAGGTGCGTTGCTGAGACGAGCGTTTGGAACCAATCGGGAATCCGTCCCGACAATCTGGGAAGAGAGAAGCTCTTGGGGCTAATCACTGAGTTTGACATACCATTGGAACGGATGCTGTTTGACACTGTTTCCGACATGCTAAACAAGGGACTGTTAAGAGCCATCTGATTTACCGGAGAGATTAGAAACATCGGGTCTACCATCTCCCATATAAGGACTTCAATTTGTGTCCTGGAAAATGAAACAAGTTCCTGTTTGTGTTTATTCTCTCTCTACAGATTACTGGCTCCAAGTCTTTAGGTGTGAAAGAACTTGCTTGAAGAGACTGAGATCTACACTCCCAAATAAAGAACCCACCAAAACCAAGAACAAAAACTCCAAGAGCACAAGAATATCATGCTTCATCAAAGTCGCATAGTCTCAAAGCCTTCAACCGAAGCTTAAATCGTCCGGGTGCCGCACAAGCTAGCTCGATGTTGCTGTGTTTCTCCAGTCCATAATTCACGATATCACTCGAGACACGTTTGGTTGCCTGGTCAGAAAGTTCTCGAGGAAGACTGAGGCTAAAACCACCAAAAATCTCGAAGACTGTCACCTGTGGTTTCGATCTTGATGCAAACTCTTCTCTCCACGCCACCAATCTTCCGCTGCTCACAACCCTCCTCACTTGCTCCTCATCGAAGCCAAAGTGGCGGTACCACGAAAGCACCAGCGCTTGGGACGCAGGATTGAGCACTGCCAGCGGCGGCGACCACGGCAAAAATCCTTGCTTCTCCGTGTCTAGCAGCTCGATCTCTGGATTGAAGCGTCTCATCGCCGCCAGACCCAAGCTATAGATGCTCTCGCTGTTGGTTTTGTTGTGATGTAAAAAGGGATGGACATAACACTCATGAGCTCGACATGACTCAAGGGACATGACTCATGACCACGTGGACATGCCACGTCAGCTGATCGAGACTGACATCTCGACACTCCCACTCTGGCTCGATCAGCTGAGAGGATGGACTACCCATCCCACTCAGCCGAAACAGATGGAGAGCAGACTCCCAGTGCAGCGCGATGGCGTTCAAAGGAGTCTCGAGCCAAAGCCTTCGTGAGTATATCAGCCACCATTGCCTCGGTGGGGCAATATTCCAGCAACAACTTTCCATTTTGGACTTGTTCCCGCACGTAGTGGAAACGAATCTCGATGTGTTTCGTCCGAGAATGGAATCCCAGCTTCAGCACAAAACGTCTCGAATTCGCCAGAGACGAATTCTCCTCCACGATCGCAGCGGAGCACACGAACTAAACAGCCGTGTAGATTTTCTGCCAAAGCCTTGTATTGGCTAAAACAGGAGAACACTTCTGATTTATGAGCCAGCAGGTACACGATCAGGTACCGCGTGTAATCATCCAGGAAGGTGACTACGTAACGTTTGCCTCCCAAAGATTCAACCATAATCGAACAAACGTCCGAGTGTACCAACTCAAGAACAGAACTTGCTCGAGAATGAGAAATCTGTGGAAAAGGAAAAACGTAGTGTTTTCCACCAACACAAGCTTCGCAGAAGGGCAGCGCGCTCCCAGGCGCCCCAGGAACATCCACCTTTTTTAGCTGTTGCTCGTTCACGTGACCAAGGCGCTGGTGCCAGGTTGCAAGTGTCGGTGGAACCCGAGCCATCAGCGCCACAGGTGGAAGGATCACGTGAGCATCCAGGCGGTAGAGCGTATCAACTGGAACTCCAAAAGCGACCTTGTCTCCAGTCTCGGCATCCAGCACGAACGCTCCCTGTGCTGTGAACAGAGTATCGAAGCCTACTTGAGCAGCAGTTCCAATCGACAGCAGCGTGTGTGTAAGTCCCGGAACATAAGATACAGGATAGATCTCCCGGATTTCTCCAGAAGAGAGCTGAACCCTGATTGTTCCTTTGCCTAGTACGTCGTGAGCAGAGGAGTCACCGAGTCCCACGGCGTCACTCTCACACGGTTCTTGGTAGTCAAAAAACAAGGAAGCCATGGGCGTCATATGGAATGACGCTCCAGAATCCAGCCACAGCTCTGGTCCGAGCACGGGCTGGTGGCTGCTGCTTGCAGAGCGAGCCATCAAGAGCTTACGAGGAGTCCCAGAGCCCTTGTCTTTGTTTCCTTTGTCTTTGTTCTTGGCAGCTTTAACACGATCAGCTTTCTTCTTCTTGCAATCCCTCGCCAAGTGTCCAGGTTTGTGGCAATAGTGACAAATGCCACGAAAACCAGTGTCGTTCGGCTGAGCTTGAGAGGACGAGGATGATCCTCCCGCAGCGCCAGCATAAAGCAAGGAAGATTTGGCAGAGGGCATCGCTTCTTTCTTCCCCTTCATCTTGCGTTCTTCTTCAAGTAGGGCACCCACGACTTGATCAAAGTTCATGGCCATGTGAGATAGAACAGATGCGAGCGTGCTAAACGCAGGCGTGACGGTTGCAAGCAGCAACGCCCTGGCGCGATCATCCGTGACAGGAGACCCAGCACCAGTCAATTCAGCCATTAGCCCTCGAATCCGTCCCACGTACACAGCAATGGTTTCACCCGTTTCCATGTGAAGCGCCAAGAATTGTTGATTCAGCAACATGGAAGAATTGGCGGCTTGGGCCACGAAGATCGTGCAAAGCGACGTCCAGATTTCAGCAGCGGTCTTGGTGAGATCAATCAGTGGCAAGAATTCATCGCTCAATCCCAAGCCAATGACGGTGATGGCTTGCTGATTGCGAAAATCCCAATCTGATTGTAGCGTCTGCTCAGCGGGACGAGGCTCAGTCCCATCAACGATGTTCCACGCTCGTTTCGCAGAGAGGATCAGCCTGATTCGTGTCGCCCATGTGAAGAAATTCGTGCCACTGAATTTCTCCACCTTCTCTGTGGAAGCCACGAGAACTTGAGCAGCAACCGGTGGCGGCGGCGGCGGCAGCAGCGGCGGTGGTGGTGGGGGCGGCGGAGGTGGTGGTGGGGTTGAAGCGGCCATGACAGCAACGTCAAATCAACCAACCAGGATCGTCCCCGAAATCCGATACCATGTTGTGGTGTAAAAAGGGATGGACATAACACTCATGAGCTCGTTCATTGTGTTCCGACTCTTTTTACACGACTCAAGGGACATGACTCATGACCACGTGGACATGCCACGTCAGCTGATCGAGACTGACATCTCGACAGCCGGTACGTGCTCGGCTCCAAATCCCACTGCAAGACCGTGAGAGCCTCCACCAGGCTCACATCTCGCTCCTTGGAGGCCTCGATGCACCACAAGATCATCCCCAGCACACGGACAAGGCTGTTGTCTCTTCGCACCTGGAAGATCCCACACGGATACGCAGCTCCAGCCCCTGTGAACTGGAACTCTCCACTGTAAACTGGCAAGAAGTTCCTCTCCTCTCCTGGAGCGCACACCGAGCAAGCCATGTCGTCCACCATGATGGTTTGCTCCATGTTCACCTCGATCGCCATGGGGAGATCCCGGAGTCTTGAGCACTGTGAATCCGTCCACCCGGTAGAGATGGTTCTGCGAGAAGACACTGCAATCCTTGAGGCCTCCTGCTGTGCATGCTGGGAAAATGTCGGCCAGGAGGCTTGCAACGAGCAGCGAGTTTCGCGATTCCAGGACGAAGCTGAAGAAGCTGACGCTCATACCTGGGATTTGGCTGAGCGTGAGTAGAAACTCGCGGCATCCATGCAGCGGCGCGTAGGAATCGCCACCGGCAGAGTGTTTGCCGCCGCGATCGAGGCGAACAAGCGTCCGGTCGAGGTCCAAGAGCCTCAATAACCCTAGAATTTTTATTATTTTAGGATGTTAGACGGCGAGGGTATTGGATGAGAAGCAAAGAGCTTTGGGCAAGCCTATGCCCAACATAAGAGAGAGACGAAAGGAGAAATGGCAAAAGAAGCTTCTCATCGCCCACCAGACTTCTGGAGAAAAGACCCCTCGTTCCAAATCCATTCTCACTCTTCCACTGGCTGGAGTTACACACTGAGCAATATTCTTCAAAATACCCACTCATTATTTTTTTCTTGCCTTTGTCCTTTGAAAAGACCTTTTGAACTGTAGCCTCTCCGATCACCAATCTGCTAGTTTATATTGATCTCAACATGGAATAGATTTAGAGATTCTCATCCTGTAAACATTTTTTCACTGTAGCTAAATAGAAGTTAGAAGGGCAAATCATAGTAAAGCTTGAGAAATAGAGTGTTAAGGGTACATGTTTTAGGGTTTGGAACAGCTCCCTCAATTGTGAAAAGACAGAAGACTATGTATTGTCTACGTTCTTCTAATGCCAACTTTAGTTACAACCCATTTAGTTGCCATGTAAATGATATCAACAATTTAAAATTTGAAGTTTAAAGGAACAAAATAATTGTCTAATGTTGCTGTTTATGAATTAAGTTGAGTGTGGTCTGAATGTTTTTTATTTTCTAGAGAAAGGAAAATCAAATTATTGAGGCAAAGAGAAATGCAAGTGAATGAAAACTAAAGCCTTATTTCAAATCCTAATTAACACCTAATATATGAATAATTTGGTGAACAAAAATTTAATGAAGAATTTGTGAGTGCATGGAATATGGAACAGGAATACAGAAATGTGCATATCAATTAGCCCAAAAACCCTAGCTTATATACAGGAGCGAGTTGTCCGGATTGAAACTAATCCGACGGCTACCAAAATCCCACTACGCTAATATTAGTATATGGCATCGTAGCCATACACTTGGCCCTCACATCATCCCCTCCTTTCGGAATAATGGAAGGCCGTCAGGGTTCTCTTGTAGACAGGCCGGGATCTGGAGGAATGTCAGGAGGAGCATCGGCAGATCTGTAGACGGTATTAACTGCTCCTGATCCCTTTGTATGAAGTGTTTTAACCACTGCACATGAGCGGATTCTTTCGGATAATGGTCCTGCATTTATAGTTAAGGTATTTCATGTTTTGACATCTCGGTTGGGGATACGCCACACTTTTACGAGTGCTTATCATCCACAATCAGACGGTCTGGTGGAACGGCTCGTTCAGACATTCAAAGGGATGATTGCGAAGTATGTGAACTTTCAGCATTCGGATTGGGATGGTTATTTGCCGTCTCTTCGGTATGCCTATGTCACAGGGGTGCAGAGTTCTGTTGGTGCTTCACCATATAAACTTTTATATGGTCATGATCCAATATTACCAACAGAGCTGGGTTTACCTTTGCGATTGCCACGAGCTCCTGATACTAGGTCATGGGATCAATATTTGACAAGCATTCTTCCACTTGTCCGA